TACTAAACAATTGTTTTAATTTCGTAATTCTGTTCTGTGTTTTCTATTCTTGTAACCCCGCCGTTTCTCTTTTGTGCGTTGATCGTCGTAAGTCGTAGTGCTGTTTTTATACCCTTGCAGAGGTTATTATAATTTTGGTCAAAAGTGTGCGACGCAGTGAAGGAGACATCTCCGACCCTATAAAGTATATATATTCTTGATCAGGATCACCTCCTGAGTTCATATAAGCATGTCCGTCTGTCCGTCTGTCTGTCCGTCTGTCTGTTTCTACGCGAACTAGTCTCTCAGTTTTAAAGATATCGAATTGAAACTTTGCACACACCCTTCTTTCCTTTGCACGCAGTATATAAGTCGGAACGGCCGGAATCGGACGACTATATCCTTTAGCTGCCATATAACTGATTGATCGGAAATGCCATAACTTTGGTGTTTGTAAAGTTAGGCAGTTGAGATTTTCTATAGGTTTTATTTTTGGCCAATCAATCCGACTTGCCAAATTTCATAAGGATCGGCCGACTATATCCTATACCTGTCATATAACTGATTGATCGGAAATGCCATAACTTTGATGTTTGTAAATTTAGGAAGTTGGGATTTTCTATGGGCTTTATTTTTGGCCAATCAGTCCGACCTACCAAATTTCATAAGGATCGGCCGACTATATCCTATAGCTGCCATATACCTTAAAAATGCCATAACTTTGGTGTTTGTAAAGTTAGAAAGTTGGGATTTTTTATGGGTTTTATTTTCAGCCAATCAATCCGACCTATCAAATTTCATAAGTATCGGCCGACTATATCCTATAGCTGCCATATAACTGAACGATTGGAAATGCCATAACTTTGGTGTTTTTAAAGTTAGGAAGTTGAGATTTTTTATGAGTATTAAGAATGCATCATATGAATAATTTTGGAGAATATAATTAACAGAGTATTCTGCAAGGGTATATCAACTTCGGCTCCGCCCGAAGTTAGCTTTCCTTTCTTGTTAGTATTGCTTTTGCATGCACTTTAACTAATTTACGCTCCCGCTCTCTCGCTCTCTTTGCTTTGAAAGTTCTAAGCGTGCAGTTTCTGCGCTCTTGCGGTACTTATAACTGCTCGCTTATAAATTTCAAATCGTTTTCTTGGTACAGTGGTTCCAATAGATAAAATGAATAATAATAATTTAGTCTGCTTCTGCAAAAAATGCAGCCTCGTAATCAGGGCTGACCAGTCTAATATAACTTGAGCGCTGTGTGAAAATGTGGTGCACACAAAGTGCGCCGGTTTTACTGGCCGGACAAGTGATGACCTTTCAAAGGGGCCCAATTTGCAATTTTGTTGTGATGGTTGTGTCGAGGTTGCGAACAAGATGAAATCGTTCATGCGCCAAACTAAAGGTGGCCTGATGGGGCTGATTAGCTGTTTCGTAGTTGCTAGAGATAGTTTTCGCCGTGCTGATGATCTCCTCTCTGCGCTGGACTCGCAGTTTAATAGTCGTAAGCTATTAGAAGCACAAAAAGGCCGCTGGTGGTGAGCAGCAAAAGGGGAACACCCAGAAAAATCATCCAAACGAATACATTGTTTTCGCAAGGCCGACTTTCTGAGGCTAAATAATTTTATTTCTGGCTTTAATTGGTCTGATCTTTACTTATGCAATAATATGTCCGAGCAGTTAATGTTTTTACACTGCAATAAACTCATTTTTTAATTCCTGTGTTCCGTCGATTTCCAATAAATCACCTTGGTTTAGTAAAGAGTTGACACACTTTAGAAATTTGAAGTCCAGACTTTTTAGGAAATATAAAAATACCGGTGTAGCAGCCCAGTTAATATAAGTATGCCCTGTTCACACTATTCCTTGAGTTACGCTCTCTCGAGAGAGCATGTTACTCTCTCAAGAGAGCTCCTCTCTGCGAAAACGGGGGTTGAAAGCAAACTGCCTGCAAGCAGTGAGATCACTTGGTTATGAGAGCGCAACGGAAGAGGATACAAAAGACAAGATTTATACAAAAGTGAACTAAAGCTAAAACTAAAGTAAAATAAGCCTTAACTAAAGTAAAATAAGCCTAAACTAAAGTAACGTAAGCCTACAATAAATAAAAGACGCTATAAATAATAATAAAAACTACCTATTATACCGGTTCTCAATTCGTTTTTACTAGATATTTAAGTGCTCGGTCAAGACTTACCATGCTTAATGCCCAGTTTTATAATAGTTACTTAAACCGTTGTAAGGCCCAGTTCTCTCAGGACCCGAAACAGTTTTATAATTTCGTTAAGCCTAGTATTCAGATCGACAAGCGAGTATGCTAGCGTAAAAACTTTAATCTTTCCAGAGTGACCAAAGTTTCGAGAGTTCATCAGATTTAAGCGTGCTACAGTCGTACTGTCAATCAGCTGGCTTTGTTGACAAGCAGTTAAAATTCAAATATCGTATTTGCGGGAAAGCGCCTTTAAAAGATATTATCAACTACCTTGGAAAGACAAAACTGCCGCTGTAAAAAGAAATTAAAAAACAATACAATTTAAATTTAAAAGTTTTTTTTTAAATTTACTGATAATTACTTGCTAATTTGAAGTTCATAGCTGCACTTTTATTGGGTTTTTCGTACATTCTTGACCTAAAAAACATTTTGCTCTGACAAGAGGCACCCCAGATAGTATTAATGTTATTTTGTCCTCACATGTAAGCTCCTGCAATCGGCTTTTGGGAGTTTTTTGAGTTTTTCCCTCCATTTCTAATTATGTTCAGTGAGAAGCGCACGCCAAAAGATTAAATTTTTTAATCTTTTCGCTAGGGTTCACCCAAAGTTTATTTCCGCAGAGTGGCAACGCTATTCAATTTTCTGGTATATTTTCGTCGATCTGAGGACCGAGGTGAAAAAAAGCATTGACGAAAAGTGAACGCCAGATGTTTGCCTCTCGCTCTCTCTCATGACTGGCGATCAGTTTTCGTCGATCTGAAACATCTGTCGTTCGAAAACAATACGGCAACCACAGATCAGGCAATAGTCGATTTATTTGCCCAATTTTTTCAAACGTCTTACTCTACTTTATATTATTCTTCACAGCATTATTCTTACACCATATCCAAGTCAAACCTCATATTCTGTCCCGTTTTAACAGAAAGCTTTCTTCTTTTGGATCTTCTTCGTATTAAGCCTGTTTATTCGCCAGTTTATTGTGCAAACCTCTTCACAAGTTGTTTACCTTATCTCTAGAAACTTTCCAATTCCCAAATATTTGGAAAGAATCATTTGTTGTTCCTCTTTTCAAAAAAGGTAACAAGTTAGAAGCCAGTAACTACAGCGGTATTTCTAGTTGTCAGCTATTCCTAAGCTTTTTGAAAAAATCATTACTCCTCATTTGCAGCACCTTTGTAGATCAATCATTTCTCCAACATTTCTGTCAACACGGATTTATTAAACGTAGATCCACAATAACAAACCTTCTAGAGCTCACTACATTTGTGATAAAAGGCTTCAATAGTAGTTTTCAAACAGACGTCATTTACACAGACTTTAGTAAAGCATTTGACCCTGTAAATAACTTGCTTCTTGTTCAAAAACTTGACCTGTTAGGTTTTCCAGTTGATCTCCTTATATAAATCTCAAGTTACCTGAAAGGGTCCTTTTTAAACATTCAATTTCTAAAATTACCTCCGGTGTCCAACAAGGGAGCCCAGATGGTCCGCAACTTTTTACATTATTTATAAACGATTTCCTCTCAATTATAAGTCAATCTCGCGTACTTATGTACGCAGATGATGTTAAGTTGTGCCTGCAGTATAAGGACATTTCCTGCCATTTAAACTTGCAATCCGATCTAGATAATTTTCAAAACTGGTGCCGAGATAATTTACTAAGTTTAAACCGTTCCAAGTGCAAGCTGATGACTTTTTATCGGGCCAATCCGATATACGCGACTTACACGTTAAGTGGCAGCTCTTTGGATAGAATAACTCTTGTAAACGATCTTGGCGTTCTCTTGGACCCTAAACTAAAATTTTCTAATCACATTTCGTCAATGGTTAATAAAGCCAGAGGAGTGCTTGGATTTATTAAAAGGTGGTCAAAAGAATTCGATGATCCTTATTTAACTAAAACTTTTTTTATTTCTTTAGTCCGTCCGATTCTGGAGTATGGGTCTCCCGTCTGGAGTCCGCAATACGGAATACTTTTGGTCGTATTGAATCAGTACAAAAAAACTTTCTTCTTTTTGCTTTACGGCGCCTAAACTGGGATGCAAATCTTAACTTACCTTCTTATTCTAGTAGACTTCTGTTGATTAATTTACCCTCCCTAGCCAACCATAGAACGATGCTTGGTACTGTCTTCATTAACCTTATTTTCTCTCGCCAACTATTAGAAGGATGTCCGAAATATTAAAATGAATTTCAATTGATTTCCATCATTTTAGTGTTTTTATAATTTTTGATTTAAGGATTAATTAGATTTAGAGAGATAGTTCAAATTGACTATTCGAAGCTTGTATGCATGGCCTGATTAGTTTGTTTAAATAAAAAGCTATTAGATAAAGTTATCTGACTTAGGTCAAACTTAAGGGATGGGTCCCAAATAACCAAACTACATAATGGCAAAAAGCATCACCTTAGGCAAAAAAAAGTGATCGTTTCAATGGTTCCTAAGGCAGGTACAGGACATAGACGTTAACGTAAATAAAAAGAGCGAATATAGGCTTGGAAAAGTTAGATATAGTAGTATGGTATGTATAGTATAAAATATATAGTTAGTATGTATAGTTTGTAGAACTTAAAGCGCGTGGCTACAGCCCATCAGACTTGACAAACATTTGTCAGACATTTGGTATCATCCGATTTTTGTATTTTTATATTTTATTTTAATTCTACCGATTGGAGCTATATTTGTTAATGTGGGGACTTATAAACAAAATTAAGTATTACTGTCTTTAAATGTATGTTAACGGTACTCTTCAAAAGACGAACAAATACCCTAAATAGTTATCCGAATTCCTGGCCAAGAAAACATAAAAATGTCATATGCAAATGTCTATTTTGAAATAACATTTTTAAATCTAGTTTACAAAAAAACAAATGTTTTTTCGGAGAGCACCTGTGGTCGAACTGTTCAGATGTTCTGACGTAAGATCCAAGCAGATATAATGTTTGTCGTCATAACGAAATCTAAAAGTTAAAGAAGTCATTATTTACTTTAGAAAAATCATGGATATCATTTTAAAATTTTCCTCTAAGCATGCGTTGCAAAACACATTTTAAAATTCCACTATTATTCCAAGTAAATGCCTGTTGGGCCGTGTGTACATACATATGTTAGTACATGTCCCGATCGCTTTTGATCAGCTGCTCAGTTCCACCTCGTCATTCAACCGCACAGCCAGCAGAACAGAATCTCCGGGTTTCCATATTTTGATTCTCTATGGGAAAAACAATTATTATTTTGTTATTGCTTACTTTCGCTTACTACAATTAACTAACTATGTGTTTCTCGGCAATGAATAATCAAATTAATAATAACGTGAAGCAAGTGAAATATGTGCGAAACCATAGCCCAACTGTTAGTTCAATATAAAACATTTTATAAGTACATGTAAATATATACACTTGCTTAGTGTTCAAAACAGAATTCGGTTGCTCATGTGTGTGAATATAAATAAATACCAATAGATAATTATATATGTTCTTATGTACAATTGGTACGTGTTTCTGTAAATGTTTGTTATCGCTAAAATATTATAAATGTACATACACGCACATCTTCATACAAATACTTCGTACATACATACACATATATTTATGTAGGTTTATGATATCTGATTTGCTCTGCTCTGTCTGCAAAGGGGAATACTGCACTTTCAACGATGAACTGAAGTTCAAGAGCACAACAATTTATTATGTTTATAAATGGTTTTAATTGAATACAATAGAGTGTTCATCAAGAGGACTCATGTGAAACGTTAATGAACGGTCTTTGCATATATGTACACATGCACGAACTTATTCGTCTGACTGTTTGCACATTAGGGTGGTCATTTTCCATTGACGCATTTTGCTGCGACACGGTCCCAAACAATGCAAGTAATCTGGGATTTAGCTTTGTATTTTTAAATCTGTAGATGCCACATGATCTTAAGAGTTATTTTGGTACTTTCAGAGTAAGTTTTGTCGGAGTAGTAGAACAATTTTCATAGTAAAAGCAAGCTATAAGTAAAACAGATTTGTAGACTCTAGTTTGGCTTTAGATACATTTTTTAATAAGTGGCTTATGTGTCAACATTTTTTTAAGCACTTACCCCAGGCAACTTATCCTAAATGTATGTACATATGTACATGTATGCACACAATGGCTCAAAGTATTTTTCATGCAGAAGTAAATTATTATGCTAAAGTTGAATAGGCGATCAGCCATCCCAATTTACACATGTATAATTGTGTTGAAACACTACACAGAAAGTTATCTGCTAATTATCAGCTTATACCCAGTTCTGCACAATCAAAGGTTAAACGCTAAAGTTCCACGAAATGGTCGCAAATGTACACCACCAAAATTAAACCCTACGATACCGGCTCCAAAATTGATTGTTGATGCTGAGAACGAAATGGGCAAACAAAGTGTTCTGGAAACCGTCCTACATTTATATCCCACAAAAAATTAAATGTCGGTAGTATGTTTTGGGTTTCGTGCGTTGGATAAAGGAACATTTGGAATTAAAAAAAATGTTTCCCGAGGAAAAACAATATAATTTTTTCTTTTATTTTAAAGTTAACTATCAACATTTTTCTTCTTACGAGATAATGACAAAATAACACAGCAAAATATAAATTTCTTCTAATCATTTCCCCACCTATTAAAATATTCGATTGCTTAACAACAATCTTTTTTAACTTGCAAAAGAATTGTTTTCGAAACTTGCTTGTTTCGGAAACCGTAAAATATAGGGAGTTTAAATTTAGCATACAGATTAGTGATGAATACCAGTGCAAGTTTATGTACAAGTCTTTAAATGGCCACGTCCACTTTAACGCCCACAAATCAAAAATACTGTAGAGATGATAAATTTTGTTGTAATTTCTGTGAAATCTATCCAGTCACCGAATTTCAAAATCAAGCACTTATGGCGTAATGTAGTCAAGTCAGCAGTGGCTGGTAGATATACCTTGCCACCAGATGGCTCCCATCTTGTGGTGGCATACATATTAATTGTGTAACAAAGTTGCAGGTCTCTCTGATAGTTGATGCACTCGGCAATTACAATTAAAGAAAGAATGAAAACTTTTTAAGCCACAGATTAAATACCCTTGCATCTGTTACAAAAATTATAAAACGACTATATTTCGATTTATATGCGTTTAAAAACATTGTATCTTTTTCGAGAAATTTGTCGTTCATTCGTCTGGAAATAATGGAAACAATAAAGTTCCTATGGGAGCTATATAGTATAGTAGTCCGTTCCGGCTACTAACTGCCACAAAAAAAGACTTTTTCCAAATAGCATTAAAATTGAGGGACTACGGACGCACGGTCAGACGGACATGACTAGACCGGCTCGACAGCTTTTGATAGCTTCATTTGTATTTCTCTAGGTTTAAAAAAAATGAATATATTATTTTTTGTGATTGTGCCAATGCAAGCCGTAGAGTTCCTATTAATGGACTTTTGGAAAATTTTGATTCAGATAGCCTTAAAACTGTGATACTAGTTTGCGTAGAAATGAACAGACAGATGGAAGGGCACGGATTGAATCTCCTGGTGATGCTGATCAAAATTATGTATACTTTACAGGGTCGGAAATGTGTTCTTTGTAATACTCTTTGAAAATATGATGTAATAAAGTAAGAAACTAGATTTTAGTACTTACAAAAATAATAAACTGCCAATGTATTTAAAATATCTAGTCTTTTTCAGCTCTCTACAACGGTTTGATTAAAAATCATGCAGGCCAATGTTTTGTTCGGTTGGAAGAAATACAAGACTCACGATCAATATGATTATACCCCAATGAGTGATAACTCCACTTTAAATGAAAAAACTCAAAAAAACCGGTCAATGACAGCTATTCACATAAGAGTATACCCCAACGATATAGGCTATCAAATTCCGTGCAGAGTCTTATGGGACTGCAAAACAAGAAGAACCAGACGAATGATTATATTTGGACGTTCGAGATGCCATTTTCTTGTTAACCGATGGGTCGCAGTCGCTGTGCTTTTAATTTTAGCGACTGCACGCAGTGTTTTTGCTCAAACAGAAATTAAAAGCTATAGTAATTCTTCCAACGGCAACGGAAGACCGGAAATTGTTTTTTTGAGTAACGAAAAAAATATCGGTACAAACGTACTTTTTGAAAAAAATGCATCTTCACCGACCTCTGAAGAAGATCAAGTTAATGAAAATACGGCATTATTCCAAATGAAAGTACAAAGTAAGCTGGGGAGAAAAAGTTCGTCTATACCAAAGGTGGCAGTTTCAGGAGATCTTACAAGAGTTCAAAGCGTGTCTATGCACCACAATACCTTACTCAATATAGAAAGTATGCTACAACGTCAGTTGCGTGAGAAAGCCAAAGTCGACAGCTTGGAGTCAATTAAAATGCACATACTTATGCGTTTGAATTTAAAAAAACTTCCCAATATAACAAAACCAATATCCGTACCACAAAATATTTTAGATAAATTTTATAAAGATTATAATACTTCCTCGAAAAATACAGTTTGGAGTCGTATGGCAAGTACAGACGAATCTCATATGTTGCAAAAATCAACAATTCCAGAAAATGTGAAACCAAATGACACTTTTGGCAGCGATACCATTACTGAATTATTTGATGAAAGTTCATCCTCTCAAATGCAAGGAGATGATGCTAACACTGTAAACGAATTTCAATTAATGCACGGAATAGATTTAAATGAAAATCAAGATAAAAACACTGAAATTCCCATTAACAATAACGGAGAAGAATACGAAAGTATTCTTTCACACATTAGCAGCATTTACATTTTTCCTGACCGTAAGTACAAATATTTATTAAATGATTTCTTACTAAGTTAAATCGCATATCAATTGCCAATATTGCGAAGTGGGATTAGAAAATACAGCCTACGTTGTCCATGCATCACTATTGACGTATTTTCCAGAAAATAACTAATAAACGTAGGAGTACCCCTATAAAAAGTCATAACGTTGCATTTAAGGTAGTTCAACTTTAAAAGGTTGTACTCACACCATTCATGAAAACAATCAATATCTGACTGTAAGTTAAATCCCGACACTATATCATTATATGATAAACAAAGCTTAACATAATCAGCATACATTAGTACACGAGAATGTGTTATGATAGAGGGAAGATCGTTGATAAACAAAGTAAACAGCAAAGGGCCCAGATGACTTCCCTGAGGGACTCCAGATGTCACGTAGATCAATTTTGAAACAGAATTCTTGAATATAACCCTCTGAGTCCTACCATTCAAGTAACTTGAAATCCAAGTTAATAGATTGCCAGGAAACCCAAGCAGATCTAATTTGAATAAGAGAAGAGAGTGGTTGACGGAGTCAAACCCCTTACTAAAATCTGTATACATAACGTCAGTCTGCATTTTTTATACCCTTGCAGAGGGTATTATAATTTTGGTCAAAAGTGTGCAACGCAGTGAAGGAGACATCTCCGACCCTATAAAGTATATATATTCTTGATCAGGATCACCTCCTGAGTTGATATAGCCATGTCCCTCTGTCCGTCTGTCTGTCCGTCTGTCTGTTTCTTCGCAAACTAGTCTCTCAGTTTTAAAGCTATCGAATTGAAACTTTGCACACACCCTTCTTTCCTTTGCACGCAGTATATAAGTCGGAACGGCCGAGATCGGCCGACTATATCCTATAGCTGCCATATAACTGATTGATCGGAAATGCCATAACTTTCGTGTTTGTTTATTGTAGCTAGAGACAATCCCCCCGAATTCGGTTTTTAGACAGGGATATATATAGATACATATACTTATGAATCATTTCTACACGCCCCAGCTTATTTAATTCGGTCAGCCAAATTATAGTTATAATTTTTATACCCTTGCAGAGGGTATTATAATTTTGGTCAAAAGTGTGCAACGCAGTGAAGGAGACATCTCCGACCCTATAAAGTATATATATTCTTGATCAGGATCACCTCCTGAGTTGATATAGCCATGTCCGTCTGTCCGTCTGTCTGTCTGTTTCTACGCTAACTAGTCTCTCAGTTTTAAAGCTATCGAATTGAAACTTTGCACACACCCTTCTTTCCTTTGCACGCAGTATATAAGTCGGAACGGCCGAGATCGGCCGACTATATCCTATAGCTGCCATATAACTGATTGATCAGATATGCCATAACTTTGGTGTTTGTTAAGTTAGGAAGTTGGGATTTTCTATGGGTTTTATTTTTGGCCAATCAATCCGACCTATCAAATTTCATAAGGATCGGCCCACTATATCCTATAGCTGCCATATAACTGAACGATTGGAAATGCCATAACTTTGGTGTTTTTAAAGATAGGAAGTTGGGATTTTTTTGAGAATTAAGAATGCATCATATGAATAATTTTGGAGAATATAATTTACAGTATTCTGCAAGGGTATATCAACTTCGGCTCCGCCCGAAGTTAGCTTTCCTTGTTTCTGAAATCCATTTATTAAAATAGATGACAATTCAAGAAGGTTGGTGGTGGTCGATCTTCGCTTAACAAAACCATGCTGACACGGTGATATAAGCGAGGAACATAAATGTTGCAAATGAGAAGTGATAATACGTTCAAATGCTTTAGGAATTGCCGACAATTTAGAAATACCTCTATAATTCTTGGCATCAGCCTTCGCACCCTTTTTATACCCTTGTAGAGGGTATTATAATTTTGGTCAAAAGTGTGCAACGCAGTGAAGAAGACATCTCCGACCCTATAAAGTATATATATTCTTGATCAGGATCACCTCCTGAGTTGATATAGCCATGACCGTCTGTCCGTCTGTCTGTTTCTACGCAAACTTTAAAGTTTTAAAGATATCGAACTGAAACTTTGCACACACCCTTCTTTCCTTTGCACCCAGTATATATGTCGGAACGGCCGGGATCGGTCGACTATATCCTATAGCTGCCATATAACTGATTGATCGGAAATGCCATAACTTTGGTGTTTGTTAAGTTAGGAAGTTGCGATTTTCTATGGGTTTTATATTTGCTTAGTCAATCTGACCTACCGAATTTCATAAGGATCGGCCGACTATATCTTATAGCTGTCATATAACTGATTTATCGGGAATGCCATAACTTTGGTGTTTGTTAAATTAGAAAGTTGGGATTTTCTATGGGTTTTATTTTTGGACAATCAATCCGACCGATAAGGATCGGCCCACTATATCCTATAGCTGCCATATAACTGAACGATTGGAAATGCCATAACTTTGGTGTTTTTAAAGATAGAAAGTTGGGATTTTTTTTGAGTATTAAGAATGCATCATATGGATAATTTTGGAGAATATAATGTACGGAATGGACGGGTCTGAAACAAACACAAGATCTAATTGTCTATTTAAAGAATTTCGTGTAAAGCTTACTTGCTGTAACGATAATTCTAAAAGGCCATCTACAAAATCATGGGCGGATAAAGGTATAGCGACAAGTGAGTCAGTGGGAGGAGACCAAGAAATATCAGGTAGATTAAAGTCACCCAAAACAATCAAAAGGTCTCTGTTAGAAAGAAGGGATAGTACGTATTTTATTGCGGACAGATGGTGCTCATAAATTACTAGATCAGAGCCAGGTGGAATATAGGAACATGTAACAAAAATATATAAAGATTGCAAGGAAACGTTTACACTTACAAATTCAATTTCGTTTGGAATATGAGTGGGAATTCTTTCGGATGTTAGGCTAGAGGTAACGGCAATCAGTACACCGCCCCCCTACGTGAGGGGCGATCGGTCCTATAAGTATTAAAGTTATCTGACAGAACTTCAGAGTCATATATCTCTGGTTTTATCCAAGTTTCCGTAAAAGCCAAAATATCTTCGGTGAATGCAGAGGAGTCGGCATAAAGCTTGTGTAGCTTTTTATTTAGTCCCCTAACATTTTGATACGCCAAGAATAAACTTTTTAGTTTTTTGGCACAGTGGAAGGCCTCTTATTTGTTCTCGGTTTATTTGGAACAAATTCTTTAATTACTAAATCATCATTAAGCCAAAAACTTTCAGAAAGTAACACATTAAACACATCAGGCGGAGCAAATATTTTAAAAGACGATATCCGTAAGAAAATCGAAATTGTTCAACTGCAATATCCTCGGATCGGAATTTTTCACGTATAAATATTGTTATATATTTCACCAGTCTTCTCAAATTTTTTCATTAAACAAGAAAGGAAACGTAACTTCGGGCGGAGCGGAAGTTGATATACCCTTGCAGAATATTCTGTAAATTATATTCTTCAATATTATTTATATGAATCATTTTTAATGCTCATAAAAATCCCAGCTTCCTAACTTTAAAACCACCAAAGTTATGGCATTTCCAATCGTTCAGTTATATGGCAGCTATAGGATATAGTCGGCCGATCCGATGGAATTTGATGGGTCGGATTGATTGGTCAAAAATAAAACCCATAGAAAATCCTAACTTCCTAACTTTAAAGCACCAAAGTTATGGCATTTCGGATCGTTCAGTTATATGGCGGCTATAGGATATAGTCGGCCGATCCCGTCCGTTCCGACTTATATACTGCGTGCAATGGAAAGAAGGGTGTGTGCAAAGTTTTAATTCGATATCTTTAAAACTGAGAGACTAGTTTGCGTAGAAACAGACAGACGGACGGACAGACGGACATGCTTATATCAACTCAGGGCGCGATCCTGATCAAGAATATATATAATTTATAGGGTTGGAGATGTCTCCTTCAATGCGTTGCACACTTTTGATCAAAATTATAATACCTTCCGCTAGGGTATAAAAAGTAAGGAATTCTAAAACTCTTTTTTTTTTTAATTCACTTCAGATTGTTAAAAAAGTGGGTTAATCATTTCTTTTTTAAGGTATGACTTTTAATTTTTTCCCTATCTTTCCCGCCAGTTAGGAGAAATCGTAAAAATGAAAAACCGAGAAATCGCACGCCAAAGTGTTCAGAAATAAAAAATCGTAACGCTTGCTCACTCTTTTCTTCTGTATCTTAAAAAAAATTTTTAATTTGCTTTTGAAATTTTAGGGACACAAGCTTAGATAGTTTCGGCAGACATTTTTGCAAAAAAAAATCGATTTTTTGAAACCTATGAAGCAGGCTCCTTTTTAAATCTGTACGGGTCGCACTCATTGTTAGGAAGAAAGCTTCCTACAATTGCTGTTGCATGGCTTGAAACAAAACTTTGGCAGAGATTCCGGCAAAGCAAATGCAACGTCTGTATAGGTTACTACTATGCTCAGACAGTCAGTGTAAGCGCGTCATGTTTGTCGAAAAATACATTTTATATCATAGTTTTTACAATAAAGCCTAGTACTCAGATCGACAAACGAGTTCGCTAGCGGAAAAACTTTAATATTTCCAGTGTGACCAAAATTTCGAGAGTTCATCCGAACTGAGCGTACTACGGTCTTACTGTCCATCAGATGAGTTTGTTGACAAACAGAAAACCAAACAAATTTAAATGAAACGAAAATGTCGAGTTTAAAGGACGCAAGCGTGAAATTGGTTTTCGGCATTGCGGCATGTATTCTGGCAATAGATATTGTATATCTAAATATTGTATATGTCCACGTTAACAAATATTTAATAATGTACAATTATGACTTACTATCTTTATCCATTTCCCAGGCTATTGCATCCCACGCTTTTTTATAATGGTTGCATTAAAATGTTTTTTATTTTACAAATTCCACAATTCTGGGCGGGACTCCATAGATCGTATTAATGTTATTTTGTCCTCACAAGTAAACTCTTGCAATCGACTTTTGGAGGTTTTTTTGATGTTTTCCCTCCATTTTTTAAAATGTTCA